CCGCTCACTGGTTGAGCGCGGTGCGGGCGTGACACCGAGGGTTGCGATCCCATTACCAGTCATGAAAAAAAATTAAAAATAAAAATAAATAAAAAATTTTAAAAAAGAAAGAATTGATAAGCTGGGCTTCATTAAAATTAAAAACTTCTCTTCTGAAAGGCACTGTCAAGAGAATGATAAGACAGCCCACAGAATAGACAAAAATATTTGCAAAAGACATATCTGATAAAAGACTATTTTCCAAAATTTACAAAGAAACTCTTAAAACTGAGCAATAAGAAAATGAGGAACCACATTTTAAAATGAGCAAAAGATCTGAATGCTTCACCAAAGAAGATATATAGATGGTATATAAAGTACGTGAAAAGGTGCCCACTATGATACTCCCTCATACTCATATACAAGAGTACTTCGAAAAGTGCGTGGAAAGATTTGTATTGTCTTTTCATTCTATTTTTCTGTGAACTTTTTGAAGTACCCTCATATATTATCTCCTAGGACATCGGAATAATAAAGGTACATTCTCTCTGGCTTCTTAAAATATATATTTTTTGTTCTAAGTCAAATATTCAGCATTTTACAGAGACACTAACTTGCTGCTGGTCAGATCTAAAGAAGACGGGAGAGCTGAGGGAAGAAATGCCCCCAAATATTTTATTTTGCTTTTCAGAAAATATCACACTCAGGAAAGGAGAGATTCACTCTCTCATCCCAACTGTAAATTCCCAAACCCCCAAAAGAACATTTAGAACTCCTGAAACTTTTTTGCTCATTTTTTTGCATCTAACTCTATTTTTTTTTCTTTTTTACTTTTTATTGCTGGGAAACAAAGGCTTGAAGAGAAAATATGCACAAAGTCCTAGAAGGTAAAAGTGTACATCTATGTATTACCTATGTAATTTTTAAAAGAAAATTTCCAAAAATATTTTTAATGAAAAATTAGGACAGGGCATAAAAACAGAGGTACACTTTAGCATTGAGGATTTTTTCTCCTTGTTCACATTTATACAGTATTTGAGACCCTCCCAAAGCACCCTTTGGATTTGCTCACCAGAACTTATCCCAGAGGGAATGTAACAGGTAAGTTTCCTTGATGTTTATGAAATGAACCACTAGCTGTCTTAACAAATTGCTCACACAGAACTCAGGCTCCCAATCAATTATTTTCCAACTATGATAACAATCTCATGAATTTCACAAGAATTTCCAAGATGGAAAGAAAAAGTAGGAAGGAGAACACAAGGGGCTCAGAGTAAAATTACTTTGGGAGCTCTAAATGCAGCATGGAAGGGGGACCTTCTGGAAATTGCCAGAGGCAATTATCTCCTCACTGCATAGCTGCAGAGCTGTCCTCATACACTCCTGACACCACCATCCAAAGGTTCCTACCAGCTTTGGGCCCAATCAGTACACTTGAAAGACACAGTGAGTTTTCAGAGTCTTCTCAAATATGGATAAAGCATGAAGCAATACTTTATATACACAGCACCTGGATGAAATTTGTCCACTGGGATCTATTTCATACTTTAAATTCCCTTAAAAGACTCAATAACAGAGCCCTCCATAGAATATTCCAAGGTTCTCGCAATTAGTCTCTGCCAATTAACATCCTCCCCTTCAAATCTTTCCTTAGTTAGCGCTGCCACCAAAATGACCTATCTAAAGCAGACATAACAGATTTGCAAATCAAGTCAGAGGAAGGGCCATATAAGTGTATTTCCTCTGCCTCCTATTTTCAACCTTACTAAAGTGACAGTAGATGACTTTTTTAGGTGTGAAGACACGAGAACAAAGAGTATAGGAGTAAATATGGCAGTAGGTAAGAGATTACAACAATCTCCTGGAAAGTAGATAAAGGATTGATAACTGACCTGGAAGAGCACAAGAAACTACCCCTCAATTGCCTGCAGAGCAGGATAATGAAAAGAATCAAGCTGATTTGTCTTGCAAAAACCCTACAAGGGGTCAGAACTCAGAGGCACAGAGGTTGAGAGTGAAGTAGGTTAATTGAAAGACTGTCAAGTTCCAACACATACACACATACCCTGCACAACCAGGTAAATATTCACACACATATATGCCCATGCCAGAAAAAACCAGATGTTTATTACCTGGATGAACAAAAAATGGCAATCTCTTAACTCAATACTCAATAGCACAAGATACCATGGAGATATATGGGGCAAAGGAGAACTAAGCTCTTTACCCTAGTACTATTTCTAAAACATCACACATTTCAGGAAAGCTTTTACTCTGAAACTGAGAAGCAAAAACACTTTGGGTGGGGGGGAGTGGGGAACCAAAGCAAAGAGAGACAGGGCAGGGAACACAGGAATACTTCCAAAAACCTATAAAACAGTATTGCAACATCACACATTTCAGGAAAGCTTTTACTCTGAAACTGAGAAGCAAAAACACTTTGGGTGGAGGGGAGCGGGGAACCAAAGCAAAGAGAGACAGGGCAGGGAACACAGGAATACTTCCAAAAACCTATAAAACAGTATTGTCAGAAAAATAAGAGAAGATAGTATATCCATAAAGCATGAACAGGATGCTGTAAACAAAGAAACAGAGCACAAAAAATTGCTCTTAAAAAATTAAAGCTAAGATAGCCAAAATGAAAAATTTAATAGCAAGGCTGGTGGACAGAGTTGAAATAATCACCCAAAATGTAGAGAAAAAAACAAATGAGATGAAAAATAGAAGAGAAAAAATGAGAAAACTGGAGAATCAATTTAACACAATAGTTTCAGAAAGAAAGAAAAAAGAAACAACAGTGAAGGAAGCTTTTCAAGAACTATGGAACATGGGTCTCCAAGATTGAAAAGCTCCACCAAAGGGCTTTTCACTTACAATGAGTTTTAAAAAAAAATGCCAAGAGAGCAGTCTGGTCAGCAGGCTCTGGGAGGGAGGTCACCAAGGAAAAGAACAAATTGGAATGAGAGAGGGAGTGGGAAATGTTAATTGATGGCTGTGGAACAAAACACTGGAGCATTTACAGGAAGTATTCATGGTTCCGTAGATATCTAGTAAATGAAAACATAAGGCAGCTTTTAATTCTTGGAAGAACAGAGTTATACTTAAAAGGAAGCATAATTATAGTACACTACTAGGCTTGGTAGGGAATAATAGTTGTATAATATAAACATTGATGTGTATAATATAATGTAAACATTGATTACATTACATTTCACTAATAATTTTACTTTTTAAAAGTATCTCAAGAAACTAAGAAACTGAAAGAAGCAGGAGAACTAAGTTCTTGTCTACTATGCTAGAAAGTTATGATAAAGCCTAAAATTGCAAGAAATAGTAGTTTTCCAATATTATTTAGAAAATACATGTAAATACCAGGGGGAATAGCTGGAAGAGCTAAGGGTGGTTGCCTTGAAAATGGCAATAAATATAAAAAATAAATATAATAAATATAAAAAATAATCTATTTTAAGAAAAGGATGAAATGAAGGAGGCAGGGAGAGAGGTGGGAGGAAACAAGGACGAATGGAAAGTCTTTGCCCCATACCTTTCCAAACACACTGGGATTGCTCACAGAGCTGCATTTTCCCATTAACCTGCTGAACCATCTTCTGGGTTGAAAATAGCTGGTTTAGGCATTTCTGAAAACAAACCCACATAAAGAGAATACTTCTTTAGAAACATAATATGTACATCTCAGCTGTGATGCATGATAGTTATAACTGATGATTCACTAGGAAATTGAAAGATGCCACATTGCCAAAGCCAACACCACAATAATTGCTATTCTTTATTAACTAACCACTGTGTAATGAACAGCACTGAACATTTTATGTATACTATTTCTGATCTCCTCAAAAACTCCATAGAGCAGGCATTACTCAGCTACAATAAAATCCTTTTTTATTCTTCTTGTCTAAAAATCCATTTAGCCTATCAACCAACCATAGACCAGTGATATCAACAAAGCCTGAAAACTGAAATGTCATGATATTTCATGTCTCTGAAAGTAAAAGAGCTCCCAAAATAATAAAATTGAGCATTAGTAGGACAACTTTTTGCAAGAAAGATTTCTTTTAAGGAGAGCCTCTCAGCACTCCACCCAGAGATGTTCTCTCAGTTTGTCACTGAGATTTTCTCTGCCGCTGTTTTTCTCATTTGTAATACATCCTTTTCATCTTAAAGGTCCTTTTCCATTGACATCTTTACCCATTAGAAATGGAAACATCAAGTTACAGAGCTCTTAAGCAACTTGCCTAAATTTCTATGAGCACAAAAATCTGATTGCTACCTCTTTGGGCATGTGTTTAACATCTCTTACAGTCTTACAAAACCAACTTTGATCAGAAACAGCCAAGAAAATTAGTAATGAGTGGAAAGAAAAGTACTTATTGAAATTTTCTAAAAACATACTGATACAAAGTTAAAACAGAGAAGATTCTTTTTTGCTCCTTCACAACAATATATTTAATCGTATGTGTATAACAATCACTGGATACCATAGACAGAAGTCTGTCTGACAGGCATCGTTTTGACATTTTGGTTTTCTTCTTGCTTGGGTGTTATGTCATGTAATAGGCATTGCCAATAAGCAAATCATGTTCTTTAGGTATTCAAGGTAGAACAGTTTAACTACAAAGAAGGATTTACCAATCTCGGCACTACTGGTATTTAGGGGCAGAAAATTCATTTTTTGTAGGGGCTGTTCTGTGCATCATAGGAGGTTAGCAGCTCCTTAGCCTTTACCCACTAGACGCCCTCCCCCTGGGTATGACAATCAAAAATGTCTTCCAATATTGTCAAATACCCCCTGAGAAGTAAAATCACCCTCAGTTGAGAACCACTGGTATAAAATAACATTCCTGGAATGGCCTGCTGCTCAGTAGCTCAATACAACACTTCACAGAGTCACTTCTTCAGAATCCCATAGTTACCACAAAGCTGACCAAGGCATTGTCCAGCACATGCTTCTGCTCTGTGTACCAGGGGTGCTCTTTCCCAGATGACATCTACTTAGCATAGAGCTCATTAAATATGGATTCTGAGAGTCACCACGGCTATGCAGGCCCGTGCTGTGGAAACACCCTCCAGATGATCAGTGAAGGCCACAGGAAGACCACACATGTACTGTAAAGGTGAAAAACTTCACTTTGTATCTTCACCACTCTTGATGCTATTTGACTTCTAACTAGTCATGACAACAAATGCTCTACATAAGTAATGAAACAGTTTCCATGATCCCCTGTCCAGGTTCCTCAGTGATGCTGGGATATCACTTCTAGCTGGTATGACAACTTCTGTAAGAGGTATCTTGCCAACACCATGGTCACCCCATGGACAGAGTGACCAACTCTGATGCCACCGGTTACCAGACAGGATAAGGGGAAGGAAAAGGGAAGTCCTGAGGGGCAGGGCAGTAAAAACTCCAATCAGTAGTAGAGGGTAGAAAGGACAGAGGTGTTAATAACCTGGCCCAGGCATGAGGCCAACAGTGCCCCCTAATTGTCTCAGTAGAATTCCCTGGCCATCTCCCACTCCCCAAACCCATATACAACAATGAAGCACCCAACAAAAGTCCTGCTCTAAAACATTTGTTTCCAGTTGCATATGAGTTCCAATAATTAAAATTTATATTCACAACATTTTTTTTGTTCCTGTAGCGAAAATATATGTGCCAAACACAGAAAGAGGCACACACTAAATGAGTAATTTTGCCTAAATTGAGAATTAATGACTTTTCTAGTTCAAAACTTTTGAAATGAAACATTGATTTATTCAAAGGTTCTTCACTGGGTCTGATAAACCTGAAACATGCTACTGATATTTAATGTGCCCAAAAGATGCATGGTGGACCCCTAAGATCTTAAAACTATAAATAAGAAATATCTAAAAAAAGTAAATGCACTTAATCAAGAAAGAAAAACAACAAAGACTTAAGGGAAATATTTAAAAGATTATCTTAAAGAGAATGAATTTAACTTATCCTGAGAGACCCCAGGGAGCAGACCACACCATCACATAGCTGGAAATGGCTGTAGCAAGAGTTCTTTTGGCTGAGAGAAAACAAACCACAGTAGGAACAATTTTATTATGTTTTTAATCCTTACCTCCTTGATGGTTATTCTCATTTTCACATTTTTGATTGGTCCTAACTAAACGCTTTCTTGAATATTTTTTCAGATATTTTATTTGTTTTACAAAGTGCCTCTATTCAGGTTCTTCACTCACTCATTTGTTCTCTCTGGAATCCATCATTTTCTCATTCATCTGTAAGAGCAGCTAAGCTCTTTCCTCACAGTTTGGACTAAGTTGTCTGAGCTTCTCAAGATATGGAATCTTCTGTTTTCTCTCTTCACCTACCTGGCCTGTTGAGGCAACATCTTCCTGCCAGCCTCTGTCCAGTGCATGAAGTGCCTTGCAAAAATGGAGAGCAGCGTTGTTTGTTTCAGAACTTCCTTTCATGGGGGTCTTCAGTGGTTCTCCGTAGGACCCTACAAGAAAGACACTTAGCTTTAAATTGGGTTTTTAAAACAAGATAATCACTTTGATTGGAGGTCTGGCCATGGCGCCTTTCACATGTGAAGAATGTGAAGGCCCAGACACTCTTCTCCCCAAAATCCAGGGGCGGGTGGGGGTGTGAGGGGCCAGGGCCTATCCAGAGCCCTGAGTTCATAAGTGAACACACAGTGAGAAACCGGCCTCTAGACTGGGGAGGAAAAGCCAAAAGTAAAGACCTGACTCTAACTGCAGCAGCAGCAGTGGGAATGCTTTATCTCTGCATGGAAAGAACAGATTTGCACATTTGAAGAATGAATAGAAGCAGTTCAATAGTTTAAAATGATGGTGCAAAGAGCACCTGGTTTATCTGAGCTGTGATCTAAAAAGAAAACCAGAAAATCACTATGGGATGCTTGTTTTGCCAATCATTGACATTTACTACATGATCATGAGCAAATTGCTTTGCCCTTCTAATTGCAGAAAGATGTTATACAGGTAGTTTGAGAGGGCATCAGAGAAATACTTTCTAAGTTAAAATAATAAAAGAGTCAATGTTACTTATACCAGTATTACTCATATCTATTCTCTTCTGAAGATTGAGAAAGCCCCTTGCCAGACTTTTAACTGCACTGGAAACTTGTCAAGTCATCCTCTAAAACTAAATAGCTGCCATATCACTTATTCATTAGAGGGGCCAAGGGACCATTGGAAAATCTTGACCCTTTGCCATGTGACATTCCCTTCTTCATTTGGACAACAATGGGCTTGATAAACTGTCACTAATGTTCCTAGAGCCTGGCACCTCAGGTTCTGGGATATTCAAAATCTGAGATATAAGTTACACTAAGGGAGAAGGAAGGATGAAAATGTGAAATGTTCCTCAGATCTTGCTCTGCACACTTGCTTCCTTGTGCTATTTGTAGAAGAGTAATGAGGAGGAGAAGCCAGCTCTCAGAGCCTCAAATGAAAGAGAAAAAGCTGCAACTGGATGCTTGCACTGACTGTCACCCCAGTTACAGACAAGGAGGTCAGATCCACCAGCCTGAGGAAGCAGGGACCGCTCGGGTTTTGTCCACAGAGTGTGACTGCAAATGAATCTCTCTGTAAATGTCCCTATTGGGATGGGAGGATCTCAAGTATTTCTCTTCCGAAACAAAAAGAAACTCCACCAGCAAAGCACTGAGAAACCAATGTATCTAATTAATGCCCAGTGTTAACTTAAGAAGAAAAGAAAATGGACCTTCTTTTTTTTTTTATGTTTATTTATTTATTTTTCCTCAAGACAACCATCTTTGCCTTCATACATAGCAGAAGGGAAAATGGACCTTCTTGTAAAATCCTTTTGACTAATAAAATGTCTCTCAAAATTCTGAACTTCTCACACAACACCTTTAAATAAATAAATAAATAAATTTAGAGCCTAGAAAGGAAAAAGAGCCTCTAATTTTTGCTAGAAATTTCTCTAAAACAATCAACATGAAAACTTCTCCTCAGTCACAATGGGATACAAAAGACTTCTTTCAGAAGATAGTCATAACAGCGACCTTTCTTACAATCCTGTGTCAGCTACTGCTTGAGTCACCCACTTTCAGGATTGACACCTGTCATTACATGAGAATTCCACTAGTTTTAAAAGATTTGGGCTCTCTTTCAATCTGCAGAACTGCAATGACTCATTGTGTCTAATGTCATTGAGAAAAGTTGGCACCACTGTTAAAGTTTGTCTTAACTAAATAAACATGCTGATAGTCAAAGAATTATGTTGCCTGGGATCTTAAAAGGGAAGAACAGGAATTAAATCACAAGATGAAAAGTGATGAATTTTGTTTCTGAAGGATGGGAATTTTGAAAACTTGGCGCAAAGGAGAATTACATATTTCAGAAAGAGCTTGTGTTTCGGGGCTCCAACAGGTTGATCATGGATGCTGCCCATCACACCCAGGTTTGGGTACCCATCCCCATCCCTGCCCCAGGGCAGGCATCTCTCTCTCTCTCTCTCTCCTCTCTCTCTCTCTCTCTCACTTATCTCTCTCTCTGTCTCTCTTTCCCACCCCCGCCCTCTTTCTTGCTTCCTTCCTTTTACTTCTCTTCCTCTCATCCTCTCCTGCTTTCATCTTTTTCTTCTATTTCACACCTGATTATTCCATTACTAATAAATATTCTTTCTGACTGCTATAGACCAGGAACCTTACCAGTATCATTAAAATTCTGTACTTTGCAAAACAAAAGCAACTATAGATTTGTGTGTATATACATACACATATTTATACATACAGTCTTTGCAAAAGTAATCATCTGCCAATGCAAGTAGTAGAAATGTATTTAAAATGCAACATATGTTAAACTAAATTTGACCTGAGGATGCCTCTGTACTTTATGAGTCCCTACATATTGAACTGCAACTTATCTTGGGAGGCAAACTAACCCAAAGCTTAACTTTTGTAACAAATAGCTGAGTCTCAGTCAATCACAGCAGCCAGGCTTCAGTCAATTGCAGGTGGCCAACTGATCAGAGCATGTTTAAATAAGACAAACACCCAGCTGTAACCAACCAAGCTGTTTCTGTACCTCACATCCATTTCTGTCCATAAATGCTGCCCACCCATGTTGCAGACCAGAGCTCTTTGAATCTTTTCTGGTTCTGAGGGCTGCCTGATTCGCAAATCTTCTTCGCTCAATTAAGTTCTTAAATTTCATTTGTCTAAAGTTTTTCTTCTAACGCATACTTTCTGTTGTTTTTGTTTCATTCCCCCCACCTCCTGCCCACCCCACCCCTGCTACACACACACAGGGCTTGGAAATTTCTTATTCAAAGGGAGAGAAAGAGAAAAAAGTTGACTAAATTTGACAGTTCTACAAGACAAAAATTCTCTCAGGAATACAAACCCTTTTTTAACATTTCAAAACTGGCCTGGGGCATTTCTGTCACCTCACCTAGAGTCAAGGTCTCTTTCTCAGGCGTTATCTTCAGCACTGATCCAGAAAATTCTGGGAGGTGACTGGGCGAACACTCTTCCCCAAAGGAACAGGCTTCAAAATCATTGGCTTGACTTTGCCGCCCTCTTGTGGTAATTGGACTACTGGCAACGGGAACCTCAGCTGACAGCCTCTTCACAAAGTTGCTCTTAAAGTTAGAATATGTAGTATTAACTGCATCAAATACCTGTTTAACAATAAAAAGAGCAGTAACTTATAGTGGCCCCAATGGTGCAAAAGTAAAAATTCCTTAAAAGACAATCAAAATGACTCATGTAGTACAACATAAATAAAATATATATGCTAGGGTACTTGAAAAAGTTTGTGGAAAAATAGAATTAAAAGATAATATGAGTCTTGCCATGAACTTTTTGAACTACTCTTGTTTCTGAGATTTTTAATTTTTTGATCTGAGTGTTATTTATATGTACCCACACACACCAAAACACCATTACATACTTAGAGCCTCTGCTCAAGTGTCTGTAGACATACCAAAGTATAGTAGTTTAGGGAGTGACTATATAATTATATTTATTATATAATTATAGTTATTGCCATTATATACCAATGTAAAATATGACATATGAAATAACACTATGTACAGAACATACAAAATGTTTGTATAAATTCATAAAATTTTAAATCTGAAAATAAACAGCAGTTTTCTAGTTCCACTCATTCATGTCACAGATAGGGAAACTGAGGCTTAGAGAGGGTAAATGATCTGCTCGACATCTGTCCATCCCCTCTGAGAAACACCAAGAGTTTGGTATTTACAGATTCTATAGTGGTGAACCATGCCGTGTAGCTATGTAAGGTTAGAATACAAGTGACAAACTGGAAATGAATTATTTTTTAAGAAAATGAAAGAAAGTGAGGTTAATATCCTTGTCTAAAGAGTTCTTAAAGAAATTTATACAAGTTTACAAACCCAATATAAAACTGGCATAGGACATAGAAAGGCAACTCACAAAAGAGATATATAAATGCCAAAAAAATATGCAACCTCACTAGTAATCAAAGAAATGCAACTTTAAAGTAATGAGATGTTAACAATGATTTTTGTTAATGACGATCCCCAATGTTGAAGGTGCTAGAAACTAACAGTGGCATGCACTGCTGGTGTGTAATCAAACTTTGCAAGTGGGAATGTAAAAGGATGCAGCTGCTGTGGAAGACAGTTTGGCAGAACTTCAAAAAGTTAAACACAGAATTATCATATGACCCAGCAATTCCACTCATAGCTATATGTACTCAAACTCAAATACAAGTAAGTGCATGTTCATAATAGCACAATTCACAATAGCCAGAAAATGGAAACAGTCTAAATGCCCATCAACAAACGAATGGACAAATTGTGGTATGTGTATACACACATACACACACATATATATGTGCAAAGAAATATTGCTCAGGAAAAATGATGAATGAAGTGCTAGTACATGTTACAATGTAGATAAATCTTGAAAGATTATGTGGTGAAGGAAGCCAGACACAAAAGGTCACATATTGTATGATTCCAATTATATAAAATATCCAGAATAGGTAAATCGATAGAGACTGAACACAGATTGTTGGTTGTCAGGGGTTGGGGGAAGCAGGATATGGACAGCAACCATTTAAAGTGGTTAATTTCATGTTATGTGAATTTCACCTCAATGAAAAACTCTTTTTAAAATGGCAAGATAGGATAGTATTCAATAAAACATGAAAATGCTCATTTAATACATTGCCAGGTAGAACACGGAGACTATAAAACAGCATTCCAATATGGTCCATTTCCTGTATATAAACGAAAGACAGGAAGGACATATGCTAGCAGGAGGCGGCGGGAACTACTGGTCTGGTTTGCTTTTCCACTGTGCCTGTGAGGACGCCAGCAGCCCACCCTGCCCACGGCCCCTCCGGCTGGTGAGCGCTGTTTTCTTCACTGCTGCTGTTCCAATATGGTCCATTTCCTGTATATAAACGAAAGACAGGAAGGACATATGCTAGCAGGAGGAGGCGGGAACTACTGGTCTGGTTTGCTTTTCCACTGTGCGTGTGAGGACGCCAGCAGCCCACCCTGCCCACGGCCCCTCCGGCTGGTGAGCGCTGTTTTCTTCACTGCTGCTGCTTTTCTCCACAAACTGACCAAAGAGACAGCTTCCCAGAAATCAAAGTCAAGAGCCTGAGGCNCTCCTCTCTCTCTCTCTCTCTCTCTCTCTCTCTCTCTCTCTCTCTCTCTCTCTCTCACTTATCTCTCTCTCTGTCTCTCTTTCCCACCCCCGCCCTCTTTCTTGCTTCCTTCCTTTTACTTCTCTTCCTCTCATCCTCTCCTGCTTTCATCTTTTTCTTCTATTTCACACCTGATTATTCCATTACTAATAAATATTCTTTCTGACTGCTATAGACCAGGAACCTTACCAGTATCATTAAAATTCTGTACTTTGCAAAACAAAAGCAACTATAGATTTGTGTGTATATACATACACATATTTATACATACAGTCTTTGCAAAAGTAATCATCTGCCAATGCAAGTAGTAGAAATGTATTTAAAATGCAACATATGTTAAACTAAATTTGACCTGAGGATGCCTCTGTACTTTATGAGTCCCTACATATTGAACTGCAACTTATCTTGGGAGGCAAACTAACCCAAAGCTTAACTTTTGTAACAAATAGCTGAGTCTCAGTCAATCACAGCAGCCAGGCTTCAGTCAATTGCAGGTGGCCAACTGATCAGAGCATGTTTAAATAAGACAAACACCCAGCTGTAACCAACCAAGCTGTTTCTGTACCTCACATCCATTTCTGTCCATAAATGCTGCCCACCCATGTTGCAGACCAGAGCTCTTTGAATCTTTTCTGGTTCTGAGGGCTGCCTGATTCGCAAATCTTCTTCGCTCAATTAAGTTCTTAAATTTCATTTGTCTAAAGTTTTTCTTCTAACGCATACTTTCTGTTGTTTTTGTTTCATTCCCCCCACCTCCTGCCCACCCCACCCCTGCTACACACACACAGGGCTTGGAAATTTCTTATTCAAAGGGAGAGAAAGAGAAAAAAGTTGACTAAATTTGACAGTTCTACAAGACAAAAATTCTCTCAGGAATACAAACCCTTTTTTAACATTTCAAAACTGGCCTGGGGCATTTCTGTCACCTCACCTAGAGTCAAGGTCTCTTTCTCAGGCGTTATCTTCAGCACTGATCCAGAAAATTCTGGGAGGTGACTGGGCGAACACTCTTCCCCAAAGGAACAGGCTTCAAAATCATTGGCTTGACTTTGCCGCCCTCTTGTGGTAATTGGACTACTGGCAACGGGAACCTCAGCTGACAGCCTCTTCACAAAGTTGCTCTTAAAGTTAGAATATGTAGTATTAACTGCATCAAATACCTGTTTAACAATAAAAAGAGCAGTAACTTATAGTGGCCCCAATGGTGCAAAAGTAAAAATTCCTTAAAAGACAATCAAAATGACTCATGTAGTACAACATAAATAAAATATATATGCTAGGGTACTTGAAAAAGTTTGTGGAAAAATAGAATTAAAAGATAATATGAGTCTTGCCATGAACTTTTTGAACTACTCTTGTTTCTGAGATTTTTAATTTTTTGATCTGAGTGTTATTTATATGTACCCACACACACCAAAACACCATTACATACTTAGAGCCTCTGCTCAAGTGTCTGTAGACATACCAAAGTATAGTAGTTTAGGGAGTGACTATATAATTATATTTATTATATAATTATAGTTATTGCCATTATATACCAATGTAAAATATGACATATGAAATAACACTATGTACAGAACATACAAAATGTTTGTATAAATTCATAAAATTTTAAATCTGAAAATAAACAGCAGTTTTCTAGTTCCACTCATTCATGTCACAGATAGGGAAACTGAGGCTTAGAGAGGGTAAATGATCTGCTCGACATCTGTCCATCCCCTCTGAGAAACACCAAGAGTTTGGTATTTACAGATTCTATAGTGGTGAACCATGCCGTGTAGCTATGTAAGGTTAGAATACAAGTGACAAACTGGAAATGAATTATTTTTTAAGAAAATGAAAGAAAGTGAGGTTAATATCCTTGTCTAAAGAGTTCTTAAAGAAATTTATACAAGTTTACAAACCCAATATAAAACTGGCATAGGACATAGAAAGGCAACTCACAAAAGAGATATATAAATGCCAAAAAAATATGCAACCTCACTAGTAATCAAAGAAATGCAACTTTAAAGTAATGAGATGTTAACAATGATTTTTGTTAATGACGATCCCCAATGTTGAAGGTGCTAGAAACTAACAGTGGCATGCACTGCTGGTGTGTAATCAAACTTTGCAAGTGGGAATGTAAAAGGATGCAGCTGCTGTGGAAGACAGTTTGGCAGAACTTCAAAAAGTTAAACACAGAATTATCATATGACCCAGCAATTCCACTCATAGCTATATGTACTCAAACTCAAATACAAGTAAGTGCATGTTCATAATAGCACAATTCACAATAGCCAGAAAATGGAAACAGTCTAAATGCCCATCAACAAACGAATGGACAAATTGTGGTATGTGTATACACACATACACACACATATATATGTGCAAAGAAATATTGCTCAGGAAAAATGATGAATGAAGTGCTAGTACATGTTACAATGTAGATAAATCTTGAAAGATTATGTGGTGAAGGAAGCCAGACACAAAAGGTCACATATTGTATGATTCCAATTATATAAAATATCCAGAATAGGTAAATCGATAGAGACTGAACACAGATTGTTGGTTGTCAGGGGTTGGGGGAAGCAGGATATGGACAGCAACCATTTAAAGTGGTTAATTTCATGTTATGTGAATTTCACCTCAATGAAAAACTCTTTTTAAAATGGCAAGATAGGATAGTATTCAATAAAACATGAAAATGCTCATTTAATACATTGCCAGGTAGAACACGGAGACTATAAAACAGCATTCCAATATGGTCCATTTCCTGTATATAAACGAAAGACAGGAAGGACATATGCTAGCAGGAGGAGGCGGGAACTACTGGTCTGGTTTGCTTTTCCACTGTGCGTGTGAGGACGCCAGCAGCCCACCCTGCCCACGGCCCCTCCGGCTGGTGAGCGCTGTTTTCTTCACTGCTGCTGCTTTTCTCCACAAACTGACCAAAGAGACAGCTTCCCAGAAATCAAAGTCAAGAGCCTGAGGCCACAGCTGTTGTTGACAGTGTTGCTTTAGGTCAATTTCTTTGCCTTTTAGTTGTTCAGCCCTTATTCTTGGATTCTAAGCAGGAAGAGGAATCTGAAAAGAGGGAACGCTAGAGCCCTGGAAATGTGAATCAGGCGCCTCAAACCCAGAAGCCTAGACTAGGGGGCGTGAGGGAAGATGACCAGCGAGGCAGGCCCAGAATGAAAAGCATGGGCCACTGAGACTTTCCTTTTCTCACTTCTTGGTTTCTCTTCTCTAAGGAAATCCACAGTAGCAGCTCAGGGGCTATGGAGACCCAGCTCCAGAGACCAGGGGGAGTCTGTCCAACTGGAACGCTCACATTTCAGCCCCAGCAAGAACTATGGTCAGAGAGGCACATTGTCCCATTTTATAAAATAAGTTAGATATTTAGACTTTTCATTTCAATTTAATTTCAAGTTTTCAGCTGATTCTAATTTTTTAGAACACTGTGGAACTAAACAGAGCACGTCTGTGGGCCACATTTGGGCCATGGGCTGCGTGTGCACCTCTGCAATATTAGCCAAGGAGCCCTTACCCTTGCAATGAGCCAGGAAAGAGAGGAGCCACCCTACATTAAAAAACAAAATAATCCTGAGTATAAATAAATGTGATGATATGTCAGCTAAGAAAAATGATCAAGAAATTTCACACTGGCAATCTCACACTGCCGTGCCAGGTCTGTCCATCCTGAATACTTCCCACCTGGGATGATCTTTCACAATTCTCTGCCAGGGCACCTGTTAGACCACCTTCACGGCTGGGTTCAACCATCAACTCCTTCAGGAAGGTGTCTCTGACATTCCCTCCCTCCCCATTCCAAACTGGGTCGGGCAATATGTGATAGGCTAAATAATGGTATCCAAAGATATCCAGATCCTAATCCTTGAAACCTGTAAATGTTACCTTATATGGCGAAGGGGCTTTGCAGATGTGATAAGTTAAGGATTAACTTAAATTGAGTTGGGGAGACTATCCTGAATTATCTAGATGAGCCCTAAATGCAATCACATGCATCCTTAGAT